ACTAAAGGATAGACCTTGAGGGAATTCCCACCTGAAAAGGATCTTGTTTTTTCTCAGCAAGGCCAACAAGTCTCCAAAGTCTTGTCTTAAGTCCAAGAGATGTTTTGGTATATCTTTAAAAATTTCCACTTTTGATTGTAGAATTGTCAAGGGTTTCTCGTAGTGCAGGCCCAAAATTTTGTCCCTCTCTTCTTTGGATCGGAGGGTAATCAAACAGTCCCTTATTTTAATCTTTCTTCCTCCTTTCCCCAATCTGAAGGCCCTCACAATCTTAAAATCCTCTTGTTTCAAATCCGATTTCCAAAATTCCACAAATTCTTGTGTCAAAAAATCTATCAAGGTGCCTTTCTCCAGCTCAGGAACAGCTCTGATTCTTAGATTAGATTGTTTGTCTTTAAGGTCAATCATAGACAGCGTCAGCTTATGTTCTGCAATCTCTTTCTGTAAGTCTGGTACTTTCTCAGTTTCCAATTGCCCCAATTTAAATTCCACAGCAGCGGTTTTTTCCTGTATAGACTTTGAGTCTTGCAATAGTCTCTGAATAGATTCCGTATTGCTGTTTACCTTTTTCCCCAGATTGTCTAATGTTTCTGTGTTTAAGTCAATTTTTTTATTTGCAATGTCCACTTTCTGGTTCGTCTCCTCAACCTTTTTATTCGTCTCCTCAACCTTTTTATTCGTCTCCTCCACCTTTGTACTAAGTTGTTGTAAAGATTCGTTAATCTTAGCCAGGGCATTGGCTAGAATTTCCTCAGACATTCCACTAGACTTAGGTTGTGTTACTGATGTGGGCAAGCCAGCAGATGATTGCCTTCGATGCCCCCAAGGTTTTCCAGATCTCAAAACTGACGGGTCTAATTTCTCACGGCCATCTGCCATAACAATGTGAAGGTCAAATTCTTTTCCAAGTATGCTGTTCCTGTTTATAAGTGGAAAATTCCTTTACTGTAATTTCAGGGAGTCCCACTAGGTGGACACTGTTACCACCAGACAAGTTACTTTCCTTCTTAAATGGCAGGAAAGGAAAGGAAAGAGAAACTAAGTATAAACAAACTCAGGGTGCGATTCTCTCCCCGATGCTTTTTAACATCTTTATGTGCCCCCTCGCCCAGCTTGTCCGGAGTTTTGGGCTGGGCTGCCCATCAGTATGCTGATGACACCCAACTCTATCTGTTGATGGATGGCCATCCTGACTCGACCCCAGACACACTGACCAGATGTCTGGAAGCTGTGGCTGGATGGTTACGCAGGAGCCGGTTGAAGTTAAATCCTTCGAAGACAGAGGTCCTCTGGCTGGGACGGGACGATATGGGATTGAGGGGGCAACTCCCATCTCTTGCGGGGGTGCAATTAGTGCCAGCACCGTCCGTTAAGAGTTTCGGTGTAATCTTCGATACCTCCCTCTCTATGGAGGCGCAGATTACAGCTATAACAAAGGCGGCATTTTTTCATCTCCGCCAAGCTAAGCAGTTGGCCCCTTATCTCTCTCGCCCTGACCTAGCCACTGTGATCCACGCGACGGTCACCTCCAGACTGGATTATTGTAACTCGCTCTACGTGGGGCTGCCCTTGAGACTGACCCAGAAACTCCAGCGGGTGCAGAATGCCACGGCGAGACTCCTTATGGGGTCTTCGCTGCGAGATCACATTCATCCGGTACTATACCAGCTGCACTGGCTCCCGGTGGAGTACAGGATCAGGTTTAAGGTGCTGGTTTTAACCTTTAAATCCCTATACGGCCTAGGACCCTCGTACCTACAGGACCGCCTCTCCTGGTATGCCCCACAGAAGAACTTACGGTCTGCAAATAAAAACATCCTGAAGATCCCAGGCCACAGAGAGGTTAGGCTGGCCTCAACTAGAGCCAGGGCTTTCTCGGCTGCGGCTCCAATCTGGTGGAACACTCTGTCACAAGAGACTAGGGCCTTGCGGGACTTGACATCTTTCCGCAGGGCCTGCAAGACAGAGCTGTTCCACCAGGCCTTTGGTCAGGGTGCAGCCTGACTCCCTCCTCTGGCAACCTGCACAGAATTTTGCTTAATGGTTGCCATCAATTTGATTTTAATTAATTTTTATAATGAAAGGTTTTTAGAATGTTGGATTATTTCGATTGTTGTTAGCCGCCCTGAGCCCAGCTTCGGCTGGGGAGGGCGGGGTATAAATAAAAATTATTATTATTATTTATTATTAGTGTTTTGTTGGAAGCCACCCAGAGTGGCTGGGGAAACCCAGCCAGATGGGCGGGGTATAAATATATTATTATTATTATTATTATTATTATTATTATTATTATTATTTATTCATTTGTAAGCAAGAAGGAACACAGTCGAGGACCCCCCCTCCTTCAACCTAGGAACAAATCTGGCTTTGGGCATTTGGATGTTTTTATTGACATTGCCTTGGTATAACAGGCTACCTTGCCTTGTAACCATGTCTTGTTTAATTATTATGTCTATGCTATACATAGTTCCAGTCGCTACTTTCCACACAATCACATGCCTGTGGTTTATCTCCCCCATTTTATTTCATGTCTGCTTTTGCAGATGTGGGAAGCTGATTCGGGGATGAAGCCAAACTGTTGGAAGGTTGCAGCATTTACTGGGGCTGTAGACACCGATACATGAGATGAGTTTTATTGCAGCAGGGGCAGATGAGGGCGTCCAGTTACGCTGCTGCAGAGGGACCACCACCTTTCTTCTCTCTGCGCTCCCCTTAAGTCGTCATTTCCACTCCCCACCCCAAAAAATATTGCTGCTAAAATGCCTTTTTATTTATGCTTTGCGCATATATATTTATGTACAGGCAGGGGCAAATAAGACTGTTGGTGTACATTACAAAAATAATAATTGGTAACTGCCTCCCCATACGGTTAGCCGCCTTGAGCATTGTTTTAAGTCTTCATTTCCACTCCACCACCCCCAAAAATATTGTGGCTAAAATGTCTTTTTATTTAAGCTGTGCACATATATATATAAAAAGCAGAGACATCACCTTGCCAACAAAGGCCCGTATAGTTCAAGCTCTGGTTTTCCCAGTAGGGATGTATGGAAGTGAGAGCTGGACCATAGAGAAGGCTGATGGCCGAAGAATGGATGCTTTTGAATTCTGGCGCTGGAGGAGACTCTGGAGAGTCCCATGGACTGCAAGAAGATCAAACCTCTCCATTCTGAAGGAAATGAGCCCTGAGTGCTCACTGGAAGGAGATAACTTAGATAACTCCTCGGGGGGTGGTCCAGCTTGGATGCCCCAAGAGGAGACGGGCTGCGAGGCTCAAAGGGAGCGAGGAGAGCCGAGGGGAGCGGGCGGGCAGGACGCCCCCTCTCAGCCCTTTGGCCCCCCAGCGGAGCCATCCCCGAGCCCTCCCGCGACCCCCTTGTCACAACCTTCCAGTCCCGCAGCACCTTGCGCAGAGGTGCCCAAACGTTTTTTCAAAGAGAGCCAGATTTGATGAAGTGCACATGCGTGAGGGCCGACCAAAGCTTTCTTTACGGTTTTACCCCAATGTTGTTGAACTTTTTGTTGATTCAAGTTGTTGAGCTTTTAGGCGGGGTTTTACCCCAGTAAATAAACTAGGCGCCGTATTAAACCTTTCGACTTTGAACATACCTGCCCTTGCGGAATCCTCCGCCCCCTGGGAGCCGAACCTAGCACCAGATTCGCTTTCGCTTTCGTGCAGTGACGCTCCCCGCCCCACATCTCGGGGGCGACCTCCGGGGGAAGGGCAAGCGGGGAGGACCCTCAGCCCAGCTGCCGCTCCGAGGTAGGGGCTCCTTCGCGGGCAGGCGGGCAAGCTGCCAGCCAGTCGGGAGTCGCCCCCCAGATATGGGGTTTGGGGGGCGAACTTTGGCCCGGAGGCCTTTGGAGGGTTAGGGTCCGCCGGGGTGGGTCGGGGGGCGGTCCTTCTCTCCCTGGATCCCGGGGAAGGGGAGGTCATGCTGGTCGCAAGGGCCTCGATGAGAGCTGGGCAAGGGCGTCCCCGCCGGCGCCAGGAGTCTCCTGCCCCCTAATCCCCACTCCCGTTGGAAAGAGCCGCCTTCCCCCCCACTTCTGGCTCGCACCCATCGCTTCATGGGCGTTGTAAAAACCGGGGGTCGCCTGTGAGGCTCAACCCACGGAGGGTGGCGCTTTCAACCCCGTGTGTGGGTTTCCCCGTGTTTGTGGCTGTGCGCTCCTGTGCGCGCCTTCCTACCTAGCGCACTTACGGACGTGCGCTTCTTGTACAGAGCCTCGGTTTCCTTACATCAGGCTCAAGGGCTCCTTCTCCTGCCTCCCGGGGACACCCCGATCCGGGGAGCCCCCTCTCACCCCAGCCTCCTAGCGGGAGGAAAGGGGGGAGCCCCAGCAGGGCTCTCCAGAGGTTGCTGGACTGCCGCTCCCTCCCTTGCAGGGAATTCAAAAGTCCAGCCATATCTGGTGTTTGCAGAACTTTTGTCCGGATAGGACTGGGCAAAGTCAGGGAGGGGGGAGGCTGTCCTTGGCTCCGAGCCACAATACAGACTCTGCTGTGCCTTAGTGAATGGTGATCTGCTCCACTGTCAAACTGCTCTTACTGTCAGAAAGTTCTTCCTGATGTTTACGCTGCAATGTCCTTTCTTGTAACTGAGGTCAGGCTTGCTTCATTTCCCATGTGGCAGCCCTTGAGATGTTTGAAGATAGCTACCATATCTCCTCTCAGTCTCCTCTTTTCCAGGCTAAACATACCCAGGTACCCCAACCGCTTCTCATCAGGCTTGGTTTCTAGACCTTTGATCATCTTGGCAGCCCTTCTCTGCATACCTTCCAGCTTGTCAACATCCTCCTTAAATTGTGCTGCCCTGGACTTCTGATGATGCAGCCTAGAATCACATTCGTCTTTTTTTGCTGCTGCATCACAGCGTTGACTCATATTGAGCTTGTGGTTTACTAAAACCCCTGCATCCTTTTCACAGTGCTCTCTCTCTCTCTCTCTCTCTCTCTCTCTCCCTTCAAGGCAACCTCCCTGCAGCAGGGACCACCCCAGCATGGCTGCCAAGGCCCCGTCCCTCTCCGAAGCCCTCACCAGCGGCTTCCTGACCTGCACCATCTGCCTGGAGCGCCTCCGCCACCCCAAGATCCTGCCCTGCCTGCACAGCTACTGCCAGGAGTGCCTGCGGAAGTTGGCAGGAGGCCGGAAGGAGCTTCAGTGCCCCGAGTGCCGTGAGCGGGTGGCCCTCCCACAGGGGGGCGTGGGTGCTCTCCGGACCAACTTCTTCATCAACGGCCTGCTGGACCTGGTCCACCCCACAGGGGAGGCAGAGCCCACCTGCAGCCTCTGCCCGCTCATCGGCCAGGAGGCTGGCCGGCCGGCCGTCTCCCGCTGCCTGGACTGCGCCGACGACATGTGCCGGGACTGCGCCAGCGGGCACCGCTGCTCCCGCCTCACCCACCTCCACCGCGTGGTGGCCATGAAGGACTACCTCTCCGGAGAGCACGACGAGGAGATCCGGAAGCGCCAGGCGCTGCAGTGCAAGGAGCACACCGGCGAGGAGCTGCGCTTCTTCTGCACGCCTTGTGCCGTCGTCCTCTGCCGGGAGTGCCGGCTGGGGCCCACCTCCAGCACCCTTGCCTGCCCCTGGCTGAGGCGGCCCAGGCCCGCCGGCCGGTCATCGTGGAGCTCCTGGCCGGGGTGGAGGAGACGGTGCAGGTCATCCGGGCGGGGAGGGCCAGCCTGGAGAGGGAGGCTGCGCAGCTGCAGGTGCGCGAGGCTAGCATCCGGGATGCGGTGGAGCAGGCGTGCTCGCGGGCGGTGCAGCGGCTGCTGGCGCAGCAGGAGGAGGTCCTGGCCCAGCTGGCGGACTACGTGAAGGAGCGGCAGAAGGCCTGCCAGGCCCTCTGCTCCGATCTGGAGTTCCAAGAGCAGGTGGCCTCCAGCACCGTGGCCTTTGCCCAGAAGGTGCTGGGCCTGGGGAGGGAGGTGGAGATCGTCTCCCTGGAGCAGGTCATCTGTGAGCGTCTCAGGCATCTGCAGGGCTTCTCCTGGGAGCCGCTGGCCACCCGCCTGCCCTGCCTGGAGGTCGACGCTGAGATCGAGGGCAGCGGCCCTTGCCTGTTCCACCTGGAGTTCCGGGAGGAGAGCCCCACTGGAGTGCCGGAGGGCCCCAAGGAGGAGGCCACAAAAGGGGCAAAGAAGAAGACCCACCTGCCGTGCCTGGAGGTCAACACTGAGAGCCCCACTGGAGTGCCGGAGGGCCCCAAGGAGGAGGCCACAAAAGGGGCGAAGAAGAAGACTCACCTGCCCTGCCTGGAGGTCAACGCTGAGATCCCCACTGGAGTGCCGGAGGGCCCCAAGGAGGAGGCCACAAAAGGGGCGAAGAAGAAGACCCACCTACCCTGCCTGGAGGTCGATGCTGAGATCCCCACTGGAGTGCCGGAGGGCCCCAAGGAGGCAGCCACAAAAGGGGCAAAGAAGAAGAGGAGGAAGCAACAGCAGCAAGTGCAGCCCGCCAGGGAAGGATCCCAGATAACCACCCTCATCCTCAGGGGCTGCCTCCATGCCGTAGCCCCTGTACCTGCTCCCAAGGTCCCAGGAACCCCTCTTCTGACACCCAAACCTCTCTTCTCATGTAGCTTCTGCGTCACGATCCCCAGCGACAAGAAGTGCCCCCTGGTCACGGGGCTCTGCCCCTTTGGCTCTGGAGAGCTGCTGGTGGCCGACAATCAAAACCAGAATCTGAAGCGCTTCCCTGCAAGGGGAGTTCAAGGGCACTGTCCCCATCCCCAGTGACGTGGCCCCAGTCAGCTTGGCCACCGTGGGCAGCAAGGTGGCCTTCACGGCTGGCTCCTGCCTCTACCTCCTGAACGGTGAAGGTGACCTGGTGTGGCAGAAGGCCCTGGGGCAGGGGCAGGCCAGCCATGCAGTGGCAGCACTGGGGGGAGACCGTATGGCAGTGTGTGTGGCTGGGCAGTTGGAGGTGTATGACCTGGAGGGGCGGCTGCTGGAGAAGATTGTGCCTGAGGACAATGCAGACAGGTGCCTCGTCTTCCTGGCCAACCACAAGGACGGCTTTGTGGGCTCCGACTGGTACCGCTGCAGCGTGGTCCTGTTCACCAGGACGGGGCAGCTGGTGGCTGAGTGCTCTGAGGAGCAGCTGGGCGAGTGCCAGCCAGGAGCTGTTTGTGCCGACACCATGGGCATCATTTACGTGGTCTTGAGGGAGCTGAACAAGGTGGTGGCCTTCTCCCCCAGTGGGGAGGAGTTGGGGGCGTTCCTCACTGCCGAGAACAGCATCGACCGACCACGGGCGGTCACGGTGGCTAGGGGGGGGCGTTTTGCCGTGGCTCTGAGCAACGGCACCGTCCACATCTTCCGGATCAGGTATCAGGGCAAGTGAGCCAGAGGAAGGGCAGGGTGTGTGTGTGTGTTGAAAGCTGTATGTCCCAGTGTTAATGACCCAAGGCAGACTGGTGTGACCAAGGTGAGCAATGGTGTGTGTAGGAGACTAAAAGCATGCTTTTACTTTGTAACTGTTGTGATCACCATTCCTCTCTTCCCCCCCCTATAAATATCATTCAATAATAAAACAAACGTGTATATTTGCATCTTTGCAAGAGAGGACAATTGTATATGAGCTGAAATAAAGAGTCTGGATAAAAAACTTCCTGCAGTTCTGATATTTTTGTCCTGGGATGCTTTCAGATGGAAACTTAATATGTAAAAGGGCCACAGAAACATCCTGTATGCATAAACTCCACAGCAAACAGCTGCCTGGGGACCCCCCCCCCCCATTTTTGAACACGCAGAAACTCCACTGGGAGCAGCCAGAGAGTCTGGGAGCAGGAGCTCACCTGTTCAGAAATGGGGCAGAATCTCACCATACAGCACATTGGAAACAACAATGAGCAGATATTTGTTTCATTCATTAATTTAGCACCCCAAAGCGATTTACAATATATTACAACAACTAAATGAATTGCAAATATGGAATCTTCTTATATATATGAGAACAGCTTCAAACAACAATGCCTAAAATCATTCTGATTCCAATGCTGATACCGGATGGAATTGTTGCAGGAATATATGTATAGCTTGGGGGGGGGGTTGCCCCTCCAGCAGATATCCTGGGGTCAGCCTCTTTTCTTTTTGGCCTTAGGCCTGCCCCCGGCCGGCCATTGTCCTCCCTGGCTGAGGGCAGGTCAAAGGCTAGCTCAAGCAGGTGGGTGGCACCCGCCCAGGTGAGCCTCGCTCGGTGCTGCAAACCGGGCCCACCTGTGGGGAAGGGAGGGCGGATATTGAGGGCACACGCGCTGAACCCTGTCTGTGGTGCCTATCCCTTTCCTCAAATGATGCGACAAGAGACCAGAGTATGGGTTCAAATTGGCCACAACTTTATTGAACTTCAGAAATGGGAAACTTGGCACAGGCCTTGGCAGGTAACCCTCTCAGCCAGCCTGGCTGAGGATATGCAGGCAGTTGAGGCCCAGTAAGAGGGGACTGCAAAGCACAAACTGTTGGGATACTGCCAGGGAGATAAAGTCCATCATGGCCCCCAAGCCGGCTGCCGGACGATCCATCGATCTCCCGTAGTCACGCAGTATCAGCAATTAGTGACATGAGCTTTCAGAAATAGCTTGCCACATTCCAGAGCTCATCCACACTCTATCAGCAGATAATGCACAGCCAAAGTCGCACTCAGGAGAGCATTATTTACAAGTTTTATTCAGCGTTGATCAGAACAAAGAAAAACATGACTGCCTGCTTCAGTGTCTACGACACACAGAGAGAAACGAAAGCAATAGAAAACATAAACTTCCTGTGAACAGGAAATACGCAGACTCTGTGACTCACAAAGCCTGCTCCCTTTTAAGGTGGAACGGAAATATCCTAACATCCTCCCCCTTTCCGTGTAACCTGTAGTACCTGTGGTTCAACCCAATTGCAACCTCTGTACATAAACCTTAAGCTGTTCTCTGTTAACAACCTTAGACAACAGATCAGCAGGAATTTCATTTCCTGGCATGTAGGACACCTGAATGAGTCCTTTCTGAATACACTCTCTTGCACGATGTAGCTTAATCTGCAAGTACTTGGTTCTTTTCTTGCAACTCTCTGAGTTCAGGAAAGCCAAACACGATCTATTGTCTTGATACACTTGTACAGGACATTTCACAGAAACTCTGATGTCCTTAAACAGTTGCATCAACCATTCACAATCCATGAGTGAAAATGACAGAGCATTGAGTTCTGCTTCACAGGAACTTAGGCTCACTGTCGTCTGCTTTTGCACAACCAGTCAAACAGGCAGTGGTTGTACATGTAGCATACTCCAGAAGTGCTTGTACCATCCGTGGTGTCACTTCCAAAACTTGCATCTGCAAAGATTTCAAGACCTCCAGTCTTCTGACTGGTGAACCTCAGCCTGTAGTGCAAAGTCCCTTTCAAATAGCGGGCTATGCGCTTCAGAGCTTTCCAATCCTGAACAGTAGGATTGTTAGCATGTCTGCTAAGCAGGTTACAGCTTACAGCTATGTCAGGTCTTGAGCATCTAGCAATGAAATTCAACTTGCCTAGAATGCATCTGTACAGCGTTGTGTCAGAAAACGCTTCAGCAGTACTGTCTACCTGGTAACCTGTCACCATCGGTGTGTCTGCTGGGTTTGCATCAACCAAATTCAACCTGGTTAATACATCAGCAATTTTCTGTGTTTGGTGTACCAGAAAATTACCTGCTTGGTCCCTCTCCACCTGCAGAGAAAGATAGTTGGATACCTCACCAAGATCCTTCATGTCAAAGTGCTCCTTCAGCTGAGCTAGGGTGCTTTGGTAGAAAGCCTGATTCTTCCAAAACATCAGAAGATCATCAACAAAACATAAACAATACAGTTTGTTTTGCCCTCCTCCTTGACAAACACACATGGATCAGCTTTGCCCTGGTGAAAACCTAGAGAAAGCAACGTCTCAGTGAGTTTCGTGTTCCAACACCTGGCACTCTGCTTGAGACCATATAAGGATTTCCGCAGTTTACAGACCATTCCCTTCTGTATCTGCATCCCATCAGGTGGAAGCATAAACAGCTCCTCCCCCAAAATCCCGTACAAAAAAGCTGTATTAATGTCATGATGGGAAACATGCAGTTTCTCCTCTGCAGCAATCTTGAGCATTAGCCGAATGCTCTCATACATGACGGTGGGTGAGTAGGTCTCGTGGTAATCCTGTCCTGGTACCTGTGAAAAACCTCTGGCAACCAATCTGGCTTTGTGTCTGACAACCTTGCCATTCTGGTCTGTCTTCGCCTTGAAGACCCATTTGCTGCCAACCAGTCTCATTCCTGGGACTACCGGTACCAGTTCCCAAGTTTGGTTCCTATTCAAGGAATCAACTTCAGCCTTCATGGCATTAAGCCAAGGCTCAGCATCTTTAGAGGTTAACTCCTGAACCTCTTTGAAGCTTGAAGGTTCCCACACCTTCTCTGAGCTACTAAGAACAGCAGTTGCTGTCTTAGCAAACTCATCAGCAAATCTCTTTGGAGGTCTGCCCTTGGTGGCTCTTTCAGATCTGCGTGCTAGACGCAAGTCTTCTGGACTCATCTCCTCTTTCTTAGGAGAAAAGTGACCAATGGTGAACAGTGGTTCTTCCAGTTCATTGTCAGACTCATCAGATGGTCTGACTGAGGCCTTTGCGCTCTTGTAGTCTGCTGTGTCATCACTGTCACCGACATCAGCAGCAGCGCCGCCCACTGAGCTGGAATCCGAACTCTGATCATCATCGTCATCATCCTCAGCTTCCTCAGCTTTTTTCAATCACCTTCATCTTCCTCTGGGTAACTCTGGAAAATTCCCACATTTCCCCCCCACTTAGGATTGTACTCAACACTCTTTGTGAACTTAATGGACTTAGAGTCAGTCATCCATACCCTGCATGCTCCTTTATCGTACCCCATGAACAAACCATGTGCCCCACGCTTCCCAAGCTTGTTGCTTTGTGGGGTGTGTACCCACATGTCAGAACCAAAGATTCTCTTTTTAAAAAAAAACAATATTTATTTAATTTTTTTAAAAAAAATTACAATAAAAAAGACAATACAGAAAAAGAAAAAGGAAAAATAAGACCATCATTCTCAAATTCTCCACTTTCATTACCTTCTTTCTTTGACCTCCTCCTCCTCCCTTTTCTTGTCTCCTGATTAATAGTTATCGCAGCAAATCCTTTCCATAATTCACAGTATTCTGTCATTACACTACTTAATCTATTTTCATCTTATCTTATAGAAACCCTTAAAGCTTAAAATTTTTAAATCTTATTTTTACCAACTTCTCATAACCATAACGTTTTACATTACCTTAATCTATTTTCATCTTATCTTATAGAAAACCTTAAAGCTTAAAACTTAAATCTTATTTTTACCAACTTCTCATAATCATAACATTTTTACCTAATTCTTTAAACATTTTTGCAAGAGCCAAGTAATTTCATTTCAACATTTTTCTAATATTCATCAATTTTATAAAACAATCCTTAATGATAAAAAGAGAAATAAAAACAATCCAGTCTTCATCCAGCGTCCCTTCCTCCTGGTCCCGGGTTTGTCAGTCCTTTTTGTCCTATTAATCTAACACATTAACCTGGTAATCTTATATCCGAGGCCCTCAAGTCTCTTCCATGTCCCTTCCGCAGCTCTTCTTCATATTTTCCTTTCACTCATGGGAGCTCCAGCTTGGTAATGTTTTTGACCCTTTTCAACAAGTCTGCCCCTTTTCCATAGTCCAGACTAGACTCCATGTAGTATTTAAAGACATGTTTCAGATTCCCTCCAAAATTGAGAGCCCCCACAGCTCCAAACATCTGACGGCCCATTGCCAGACTCGAAAAGTCCATTTTAGGGGGGTCTATCCAACCCCCCATTTCCAAGCCAAACCAAACTTTATCTTTCCAACTCTGGCTTTTCCAAGTTCATTTGTCAAATCCAAGAGTTCATGTTCCTGCTGGGCCGCAGCTCCCTCCATCTCTGGCGCTCGAGATTCAGCAACATCCTCTTCTCTTAACTGTTCTGTCATGGCACACTCCTGTTTTAGTTCCTGGGTGGGCTCCACATAGTTTCCCACTACCTGTTCAAAAGTTCTGACAGCATTAGTCATCAAATCAGTCTTCTGACTTAACTGATCCAATAGGGCATTTACTTTACAGAGAGCACACAACAGTGCTTCTGAAAACATTGTCCTGCAAGGTCACAAGTCCTTTCCCACGGTTGTAATCTGTGGCAGCTGCAAGCTCCCTGGAATTAGTTACAGTTTCACAGTCCCCCTCTAGGGGGAAAACTTCTGGTTGTTCTTTCTTTTAAGGACAATAGCAACAAAGTTTATTTTTTAAAATACTTTGTCAATATTTGTTCCTTTA